GCCTCCCAAAGTGCTGGGATTACAGGCGTGAGCCACCGCGCCCGGCGGAAAGATCATTTCTGAAATGCAGATTCTGGTAGAGTGGATCCAAGGTGCGGCCTGGGATTCTGCATTTCTAATAAGCTCCCAGGTGATGCAAAAGCTGCCAGCACCTTATTCACACTTTGTCTTAGCAAGGCTAGAGGGGATATACCAAGATAAGTGACAGTGATGCTTGTCCTTTAGAAAGGAGCTTATGTCCTTGTAAAGATAATCTAAATATCCACATACCACCTTCACTTTCATTAGTGCTGTAGGGAGCATGTAAACTCTGAAGCTATTTGAGATTGGGATAGATGTTGATTTTACTAAACATTATACGAGACCAGCATAAGGTCACATCTGGCTATAACAAAATCATTCAAGGTGTTATAACAAGATATACAACTTAGAGAAAGCAATTAGCAATTTAGAATATGAAAATATAGATCCTTTTTAACAAAGAAAGAAATAACCTGAAACAGACGGATGGTAATTTGTCTTTCACTCTGCCCCTGAGTAGCTCTGTAACCTTAAGCAAGTCGCTTATATTCTTTGAATCTCAGTTTCATTATTTATAAATTAGGGCAAATGATAACCACCGTAGAGGTGCAAAGATGAAGTGAGATATTACATATCAATTCTATGACTGTGCCTGACATATATGGTAGTCCTTATAAAATACCAGGTCTTCCTGTTCTTTCCTTAGATAGAACATTTTGCCTACGTACCCTCTCTTAGCGTAAGAGAGGATCCAATTTGAATGTTATGTTTGGCACCCTTAACATCTTAGAGAAAAAAAAAGAAAATAGAATAAACAACAATGTAGGTAATAGGCAAGTATTTTTGTCTAAATGAACACTAGACCATGAGTCAGAAAGCTAGGCTTTGGTCCAGGATTCAGCATTAACTAGATGTTTGATGCTGAACCTTTTTTAGTGTCACTGGCCCTCGAATGCTTTCTACATCACTGTATTTAACACAGGACAGGTGAGCCCCAAAGTGGGGCTTAGCCCTCAAGGGTTCTTGGCTTTGTTCATGAAAGAATTCAGGGGCAAGTTAGAGGTAGAAGAAAACAGCTTTGTTGAAGAGGCAATGTTACGGTTCTGGCATTTATGACTCTGTGATAATATAATATATAATATACAATAATGATAATATAAGCCCTTCAGGGCAGGGCTACCCCATATGCAGAGAGTAGCAGTTTAGGGCGGTTTTGCAGTCATATTTGCACCCACTTTTAACTGCATGCAGATTAAGGGGTGGTTTAGGCAGAAATTTCAAGGGAAGTGGTAGTAACTTTGGGGTCATCCAGTCATTGCGGTGGAAAGAAGCAGTAACTCCTGGGTGTTACTACAGCAATGGTAAACTGACATGGCACACTAGGGGGCGTGCTTTCCATTGGCCCTGTTTTAGCTAGTTCTCAATTTGGTCTGGTGATCAAGCCCTGCCTCTGGAGTCTAGTCCTTCCTCCTACCTCATATTCACCTTATTAAGTACACTATCTTCTTACGGAAATGCATTATCATTCCAAATCTTTTGATTTTATTTTGTGTTTTTTTTTTTTTTTTATTTTGGAATATCAGTAAATTTCACAGAAAATATTAAAATTGTAGAATCACTGAATAATTAGAACACGGATTCTAAACAAGTTTGTTTCTTTCCTCCTGAAATCTCTACCAAACACCTTCAAACTATGTTACTACACTTTCAATAAGTATATGAAATCAATGAACTAATGTTTCTAGTTTGAGAACTTTAATTTTTTTAAGATTACACAGGCATGCACATTTTCACTGACAATTGAAATTTATTTGCTTTACATGACATTAAGTTGCTATATTAATAACTAAGATAACAAATATAATTTAGAAATACAAAAAAGGAGGCCGCGTGCAGTGGCTCACGCCCAGCACTTTGGGAGGCCGAGGCGGGGAGATCACCTGAGGTCGGGAGTTCGAGACCAGCCTGACCAACATGGAGAAACCCCGTCTCCACTAAAAATACAAAATTAGCCGGGCATGGTGGAGCATGCCTGTAATCCCAGCTACTCTGTAGGCTGAGGCAGGAGAATGACTTGAACCCGGGAGACAGAGGTTACGGTGAGCTGAGATCGTACCTTTGCACTCCAGCCTGGGCAACAAACAGGGAAACTCTGTCTCAAAAAAAAAAGAAAGAGAGAAAGAAATACAAAAAAAAAAAAAAAAAAAGAGCAATTTGGAGAAAGATTTAAAAACTAAGTCATTTTAAAAGACAAAGTACAAAGTACTGAGTCAAGCCATTCATAATGTTCTCATGAAGCTACAGGGAAACAAATCTGTTCTTTCAAAATAATTGCAAATTTCTGTGTAAGAATGAATGGAAAAAGTCATCCAAAAACTACTTGACTACATATACTTATGGATCTCTATGTAAGTGCCAACAAATGAATTTTTTTTATTCATTTGGTTATGTAGCAGTTGTTCATTCTAATCTTGTTTTGTTCCCTGTCATATCTCTGGTACCTAGAATAATCCCTATCACGGAGTAGGTCTTCCATTACTCTTATGCTTTTAAATCTCCCCTCACCTCATTGTAAATGACTTTTGATTTCTCTTTTATGCCCTTTTTATACACCTTCCCCTAATATCTCCATTTATTTCTGAAGCTTCATAGGATTCAGCCATTGAGGTCACTTGGGTTTAGATATACCAAAAGTCTGTGATTTCTTCATTTGCATATATGCACATTTGTTGTTATCCTTACCACCTTCTATCAGTTCCTTACCATAAGATACACTTAATTCTTGAAAATTCACTTGTGTCTTACAAAGATGGCAAATTCAAACTTCGGCTGTGTATGACACACCATTAACTGCACAAGGACACTCTGTATTTGCTACGTTAATATTTGCTGATGAGCTAATGTAATAACGACCCATCTGCTTCTGCTGTCTGTGAGGTACTTTCTATCTATAGGGATGGAAATTAATGACAAGGCTCTCTGAGCTGCCTGATGTCAGAGCTGAGAAAAGTGTGAGGGGTATATAAGAGCTAGATTACTAGTTAGCAAATGAGGGGGTAAATATTCCAGTGGATACAAGCTTGGGCTCTTTTCTTGAAGCTTTCTTTCTGTCAGAGGCATTTGCTGATATTGCTGACGTTGAAACATTAAAAGGTAAAGAATTTCCTATTTCTGGGAAAGTTTTATTTATTTAGAAAAATGTACACTTGGTGTTAAATTCATGGTTTATTTCAAAGAAGGCTAAAGGGAGAACATATTACAATATAAATGTTCAGATTGTTTAGATAAGGAAATTGGGAAAGTAAAAATCTCAAAATTACTTGAAAAGTAGACAGTATTAGGGACTAAATCAATAAAAATTTTGATCCTTGTAAATTATGTTTTAAAAAGATGTTTCTTTTAAAAACTAGGCTCTAATTTAAAATTACATCAATTAGAACTGTAAGAAATCTCTTGATTTCAGTGCTGGATTATTCTTTGCAGAAAATTTGAGAAGCAATGTGCATCCTGAAGCTGCAAGTATTTCTCATCGTGCTCTCTGTTGCATTAAACCATCTGAAAGCTACACCCATTGAAAGGTTGGTAACTTTAAGATCCTATTTCTTCTGTAAAGTGTGGGAAAGTTAGAATTAAATACTGTCAAATGACTAACAGCCTTAAATTTCTGACTATATCATGCTTAAGAACAGTACCTTCAGTTATTCCATTGTTGCTTGAATTCTCTGTTCTTTAAAGAATAACACCAGTGGCAAATAAATATCTTTGATGGAACTTCTGACAGAAAAGAATGGATAATTCCAGTTACATATTTAGTTTCCAGCATATTTCCAAGAGAAATATGGTCTTGGAACTTAGAGGGGCAAAGCCAGAACATGAAGCAGAAAAAAATCAAAAGATAGTAATTTCTCCTATATTAACCTGATACTGAAACAAACCAGAGGAACTTAAGTAAAGCATATATTTTTGTACCAAGTGTAATTCTTTTTGTATATTTACTTAGATTTTTATTTTCCTCAAATGTCTCTGGAAATATTCAAAACTCTTACATCTTGTGGAAATGGAAATGTATAGAAATAATCAGGAGCAAATTAATGTTTTTAAGATGTGAAACATAAAAGAACTAGTTAAAAAGTCATTTGCTGTTGGGGGATTTATTCTATATTGTTAGCTAGCTATTCTGTGAGTGAAACAGATTTATAAAAAGTTAATCTTCATATTACTTCTAAGCTGCTATAAACTTAATACTTTTTAAAATTACTTTCAATAGGGAGCATGTACGTCAGGATTTCCTGGGAAGTCTTTGTATGAAAGGTTTCCTGACATTTAAATGGTAATTAAGGAAGTCTAAAAATTATGTCAGGTAAAACTTTTAAGAGTAGTTACAATTTTCAAACTGAAACTTTAATACTGTAATTCTCCATTAATTTAAAGGATTACTAAGTTCAAATCTGTGCATAAGTCATAAATAATATAGTGAGGATTTGTTTGTGCCTAAATCAGTTTTGCTCCATACAGTCTTATGGGACTGAACTTACACACTCTTTAACACCAAGAAGAATTAAGTTTACCTTTGTAAAGAGTGTGCATTGTCATATTAGAACTCTTCCCATTAGAATGATCATCATCTTGTCTTTGTTTTCCTTTGAGATCGTTTTTCTTGGAAGCCCATAGCAGTATGCAAAGATTTCTACAGCACCTATGTATAATAAATAGCAAGAATCATGTTTTTTGTCATTTCAAGACTTATTTAGTTTACAGGGTGTTCTTCTCAGAACTGACTCTAATTTTCTATTTGATTTTTATTGGATAAAAGTAACTTTTAAAATGACATGAAGTTTCTGATAAGCAGAATAACTGAATGATGATAGGAAAATCAGTAGTATTTCCTACTATATCTGTTTATATCTTGATACTTTCTTTCAATAGATATGGAAATTTACTCAGCACATTTACCCTCTTTTTCTAAATTTTATTTTGAGACAGGATCTCTCTGTGTGTCACCCAGGCTGCTGGAGTACAGTGGTACAATCATGGCTCACTGTAGCCTTGACCTTCTGGGCTCAGGTGATCCTCCCACCTCAGTCTCCCAAGTAGTTGGGACCACAGGCACCTGCCACCATACACAGCTAATTGTTTTATCTTTATTTTATAGGGAAAGGGTCTCCCTATGTTGCGCAGGCTGGTGTCAAACTCTTGGGCTTAAGCCTTCCTCCTGCCTCAGTCTTCCAAAGTTCTGGGATTATAAGAGTGAGCCACAGAACCCAGTCCATTATGATTTTATAGATGCTTGTTTGTTTATTATGAGAGAAACTTCTCTTAGAAATAGGGTAATATGTAATACAATATTACTTATTATTAAATTATTTTGGTGTTAGTCTAACAATCTTTAACTTTGAATTATTAGAAATCTTGTAAAACAGTCTTCAAATTGCTTTTTAATGTGTTGCCTGAAATGAGTATGTTTGAACATTTGTTAAAGGGTGTATGATTTATCATGCTGAGATGTTAAATCATGTACTATTCTACGTATCTCACAGAAAGTTAGGAAAATATATGTGGAAAATGTGTCAAATTTAAAATTCTTTTCAAAAATAAAACTAATATTATTCAGTGTAATTTTCCTCATAAAATTTAATCATCTCATTAGAGATTTTTTCAATTTGTAAATGTATGAAATAGGATAAAAGGATCACATACTTTCCCACCAACTTTCTTACACTCCCTTGTAAATATCTGCCTGGCAGGTAATCAAAGGATAGTTAAAAATGTAATTACATAGATGCCAAGATGTAATCACTAGGATCTCCCTGCAGGAGCTCACAGACTTCCACAGATGAATGTTAAGAGCTGAGAGCAGGGAAGCACTTTAAAGCCATTTTTAAAACTCTGGAGCGACAATTTAAAAGAGAGGCAATTTAAGAGTTATACTTTGGCTTATTGTCATCTCTGTTTAAACTCTCTTAAAGTCAAGAATTTCCCTGTGTATATGTGCCTGTAAGTGGTCAACAACTTTAATGTTTGTTACTAGCTGGTATGTTACCCGTCCAGGTAGTCAATGAGAAAAAAATGCCTGAAACCGGGGAGGTAATGCCTTTTATTAACCATTTTAGACATCTTTTTCCATCCTAAAGATTGCTTTAGATAGAATCTTATATATGCTGAATAGTATATTTAGGTGAAAAGTCTTTTTTAGAAAAGCAATTTAGGCCGGGCACAGTGGCTCACGCCTGTAATCCCAGCACTTTGGGAGGCCGAGGCAGGCGGATCACGAGGTCAGGAGATCGAGACCATCCTGGCTAACACGGTGAAACCCCGTCTCTACTAAAAATACAAAAAATTAGCCTGGTGTGGTGGCGGGCACCTGTAATCCCGGCTATTCGGGAGGCTGAGGCAGGAGAATGGGGTGAAGCTCACTCAGCTTGCAGTGAGCTGAGATCGCGCCACTGCACTCCAGCCTGGGCAACAGAGCAAGACTCTGTCACAAAAACAAAAACAAAAACAAAAACAAACAAACAAACAAACAAACAAACTCAGTCATCTAGGTGTTCGCAAAGTTGAGTTACTTTTGTGAAAATTGTTTCTTTAGTTTTCATCAGTACGAGATATTTGACATCACGTGGCTGGATCCAACTAAAATAGTAAGGCTCTAACTTTTCACATTTGTTCCATGTCACCAGTCATCAGGTGGAAAAGCGGAAATGCAACACTGCCACGTGTGCAACGCAGCGCCTGGCAAATTTTTTAGTTCGTTCCAGCAACAATTTTGGTACCATTCTCTCATCTACCAACGTGGGATCCAATACATATGGCAAGAGGAATGCAGTAGAGGTTTTAAAGAGAGAGCCACTGAATTACTTGCCCCTTTAGAGGACGATGTAACTCTATAGTTACTGTTTTATGTTCTAGAGATTTCCTGTATAATTTAACACTGCCTTTTTCATTTCCAGTGTGAATATATGGTCTGTGTATCTGATGTTTGTTGCCAGGACATATACATTGTCAAAAGATTGTTTTATATACAGTACTAAGGTCCCGTAATAAAAATATGGTATCTTTTAAAATGAAATGTTTTTACTATAGATTTTTATTTTAAAGCATAAAAAAATCATTTTGGGACCTATATCTCAGTGGCACAGGTTTAAGAACAAAGGAGAAAACAGTAGTTTGAACCTCAGTAAATTGTAAACAGCTAATAATAAAGTTATTATTCTTAACATTAGAAAATCAGTAATTGGGCTGGGCGTGGTGGTTCACACCCGTAATCCCAGCACTTTGGGAGGCCGAGGTGGGCAGATCACGAGGTCAAGAGTTCGACACCAGCCTGACCAACATGATGAAACCCTGTCTCTACTAAAAATACAAAACTCGGCTGGGCATGGTGGCACATGCCTGTAATCCCAGCTCTTCAGGAGGCTGAGGCAGGAGAATCACTTGAACCCAGGAGGGGGAGGTTGCAGTGAGCCGAGACTGCGCCACTGCACTCCAGCCTAGGCGACAGGGCAAGACTCTGTCTCAAATTAAAAAAAAAGAAAGAAAGAAAGAAAAAAAATTAGTAATTGTAAGTACCCCTGTTAAGCAAATTAGTAAATGTAAGTACCCGTGTTAAGCAATTCCTTTTTGCAGTAGATTTCTGAAATGATAGGATGCTGTTTTAAAAACAAAGAAAATCCTGCTCCTGACTCAGTCAAAATATTTTTTAAAGTCCATTGTTTGTTGTGCTTGCTGGTTCTAAGAGGCTATTTAAAAATATAAAACCACTTTGTATCCATGAGAGTTTCATTGTGTGTTAGCAGCAGTGAGCTTCTGTTAAATGTATATGCCCTTTATTCTGTTTAAGTGGCTTTCAGCAAACCTCAATCGTGTTTTTATGCAGGGTATTGCAAAACAACTTGTGTTCTATTAATCATGTCTTCAGTTAAAAGACCACAGACGTCTGGAAACTATTTGCTGTATAGGAATTATTTCCTTTGTTTAATAAATTGGACATTTCTGGCAGAGGTTTATGTGTATGATACACTTTTTTTGATAGCAGCTGCAATGTTGGACAGGAGATGAAATGCTTTGCTTTGAGTCAGATTCTCATAGAATGAAGGGGTGGGCTGCCCCTCCACACCTGTGGGCATTTCTCCTTAGGTGGAACGAGAGACTTGAGAGAAGAAATGAGACACAGAGACAAAGTATAGAGAAAGAAAAAGTGGGCCCAGGAGACCAGAGCTCAGCATACAGAGGACCCACGCCGGCACCGGTCTCTGAGTTCCCTCAGTATTTATTGATCATTATCTTTACCATCTCGGAAAAGGGGAAGTGGCAGGACAATAGGATCATAGTAGGGAGAAGGTCAGCAGAAAGACATATGAACAAAGATCTCTGTGACATGAATAAGTTTAAGGAAAAGTGCTGTGCACTTTTGATATGCATATGCAAACAACTCCATAAACCTTTTTAGTGCATAAAGAGCAGCATTGCCACTAGCACGCCCCACCTTCAGCCCTAAGGCGGTTTTCTCCTATCTCAGTAAATAGAACATACAATCGGGTTTTACACCGAGACGTTCCATTGCCCAGGGACAGGCAGGAGACAGATGCTTTTCTCTATCTCAACTGCCCAGAGGCCTTCTTTCCTCTTATACTAATCCTCCTCAGCACAGACCTTTCACGAGTGTCAGGCTGGGGAACGATCAGGTCTTTCCCTTCCCACGAGGCCATATTTCAGACTATCACATGGTGAGAAACCTTGGACAATACCTAGTTTTCCTAGGCAGAGGTCCCTGCAAACTTCCGCAGTGTATGTATCCCTGGGTACTTGAGATTAAGAGAATGGTAATGACTTTTAACAAGCATGCTGCCTTCAGGCACTTGTTTAACAAAGCACACCCTGCACAGTCCTAAATCTGTTAAACCTTGAGTCACCACAGCACATGTCTCTTGCAAGGACAGAGTTGGGGGTGGGGTCACAGATTAACAGCATCTCAAATACAGAACAAAATGGAGTCTCTTATGTCTACTTCTTTCTATATAGACACAGTAACAGTCTGATCTCTCTTTCTTTTCCCCACATAGAATATCTGCTTTTCCCTGACTTTGAGTTAGGAACCTATGGAAGTAGCATTAATTCAGATAAACTGCCATCATGCTGCGTTATGCCATTTCTAAAGGCACTCACTTTAGTCAAAGTGGAAATTTGACTCATTGACTTACCTTTCTATGTTAACATTTCCCTATATGAAGTGTGTCTTAGATTACCAAATAGGAGAGGCTTTCATTGGTGGTGGTAAGTGGTAGTGGTCATGAGTGTATAGAGGCAGACAAATATATTTATAATACATTTTATGTCATGAATTACATATTGAAATAAATAGGTGGATATATAGATTTATATTTGTGATGTTCAATTATTGGTCCTTCTTTCAAAGTGGACTCAAACCCAGTATTTCAAATTGAATAAGGTACAATTAAATTATAATCTCTCAAACTTATTTGAAAAATTTCCCACAATAGTCTACAGTTTTATTGCATATCCCGTCTATATATAACATAAATATATATAACATAATATGTAATTTATAATATGCCATAATTTATAATATCAACGTTATATTTAGGTTTATAAATATTACATATATGTGTTTGTCATTTAACATTATAATTTATTTCAACTCCCCCATCTCTCTTTCTAGTGTTAACAAAATTTTTTTTTCTTTTTGAGACGGAGTTTCACTCTTTTTGCCCAGGCTGGAGTGCAATGGCACGATCTCAGCTCACTGCAACCTCCGCCTCCCGGGTTCAAGCTATTCTCCTGCCTCAGCCTCCCGAGTAGTTGGGATTACAGGCATGCGCCACCATGCCTGGCTAATTCTGTATTTTTAGTAGAGATGGGGTTTCTCCATGTTGGTCAGGTTGGTCTTGAACGCCCGACCTCAGGTGATCCACCCGCCTCGGCCTCCCAAAGTGCTGGGATTACAGGCGTGAACCACCGCACCCAGCCCGTGTCAACACAATTTTAATGAGTGCATATGATGTTCAAGGACATTGGCTATGGTAGCACACAATTCCCAGGAATTAAACAAGAGGACTTATGAATAGTAACCCAACAATCTCTGGTGCTAGGGATTAAAATATAGTTAGAGTGACTCTATAACACTCTATAACACAAAGGTTACTATGTGGATACATCAGATATTAATTGTAGATTTTATTCTAAAGTTTATTCATTCAATTTCTTATGAAAGTGAAGCATTTAGACAAATTCAGCATTATTTCCTTAGTTGGGTTGGTATTTGCAGCTCAGTAAGGAATCAAATACATTAAGGTTGAGAATGCCTTACTGCCAGGGAGCTTACTGAGTGTATTCTCTGGTTTCGCACAACTACTTTGGAAAAAAATAATGAGAATAACTAAATTACTGTAATTAGAGGTACCAACAGTAAAATTTTGGTGACTACGTTTATCTTAACCTTTCTCAGTGTGTACATGAAATCATAGGTACCCTTGAGTAACCTGAGTGAGTTAGGCTTCCAAGTGCTAGAATGGGTAGCTAGGCAAGCATGAGCAGTGACGAGAGGGTTCCCCAACCCTACTCACACCCATCTATGTCCCCATTCGCCCAACCCTCAACCAAGAATTATCAGGCGACCATCAGCTGATGGTCAGGGGGTTGTCAAATTGTCTCTCTGAAATAATAACTGGTGGCAGCCAGCACCAGGGAAAGGTAGACTCCCAATAGATAGAATTCTAACACCTGAAACTGATTATCAGCAGCTTCCAGATAAGATCTCAGAAACTGGGTAAGTAGGCTCAAGTATATACACTAAGAGACAAAATGGCAGAGTTTAACTGGTATATGACCCCAAAAATAAATGCAACAAAAACAAAAATATATAAATGGGATGTAAGTAATTAAACTAAAAAGCTTCTGCACAGCAAGAGAAATAATAAACAGAGTAAACAGACAACCCACAGAATTGGAGAATATATTTGCAAACTACACATCTGATAAAGAACTAGTATCCAGAATCTAAAAGGAACTCGAACAAATCACCAAGAAAAAAATAAATAATCCCATTGACAAGTGTGCAAAGGACATGAACAGACATTTACTTTAAAAAAGATATACAAATGGCCAACAAACATGAAAAAAATGCTCAACATCGCTAATCATCAGGGAAATGCAAATCAAAACCACAATGAGACACCACCTTCCTCCTGCAAGAATGTCCATTATTAAAAAGTCAGAAAACAGGCGGGTGTGGTGGCTCACACCTGTAGTCCCAGCACTTTGGGAGGCTGAGGCAGGTGGACCATGAGGTCAGGAGATGGAGACCATCCTGGCCAACATGGTGAAACCCCATTCCTACTAAAATACAAAAAATTAGCCGGGCATGGTGGCGCGTGCTTGTAGTTGCAGCTACTTGGGAGGCTGAGGCAAGGGAATCACTTGAACCCAGGGGGCAGATGTTTCAGTGAGCTGAGATCGCTCCACTGCACTCCTGCCTGGCAACAGAGCAAAACTCTGTCTCAAAAGAAAAAAAAAAGAAAAAAGAAAAAAGTAGAAAAACAATAGATAGTGTGTAAATGTGGGGAAAAGGGAATGCTTACACAATGCTAGTGAGAATGTAAATTAGTACAATCTCTATGGAAAAGAGTAAGGAGATTCCTTAAAGAGCTAAAAGTAGGTCTACCATTTGACACAGTAATCCTAGTACTGAGTATCTAACCAAAGGAACAGAGGTCATTTTATGAAAAACACACTTGCACACGTATGTTTATAGCAGCACAATTCACAATTGCAAAGGTGTGAAGCCAACCTAAGTGCCCATCAACTAATGAAAGGGTAAAGAAGATACGGTATTTACCCACTATGGGATACTACTCAGCCATTAAAAGGAATGAAATAATGTCTGTTGCAGCAACTGGGGTCGAGCTAGAGACCACTATTCTAAGCAAAGTAACACAGGAGTGGAAAACCAAAAACTGTATGTTCTCACTTTTAAGGGGGAGCTAAGCTATAGCTATGAGTTATGCAAAGGCATACAGAGTGATATAATGGACTTTAGAGATTCAGAAGGGGGGAGGATGAGAGGGGGCCAGGAATAAAGAACTATACGTTAGATATAATGCACACTTCTTGGATGGCAGGTACACTAAAATATTAGAATTCACCACTATATAATTCATCCGTGTAACCAAAAACCACTTGTATCCCAAAAGCTATTGAAACAAAGAAATGACAATAAATTTTTTTTTTTTTCTTTTTCTTTTCTTTTTTTTTTTTTTTTTTTGAAACGGAGTCTTGCTCTGTCAACCAGGCTGGAGTGCAGTGGTGCGATCTCCACTCACTGCAAGCTCCGCCTCCCGGGTGCACGCCGTTCTCCTGCCTCAGCCTCCCGAGTAGCTGGGACTACAGGCGCCCGCCACCTCGCCCGGTTAATTTTTGTATTTTCAGTAGAGCAGGGTTTCACCGTGTTGGCCAGGGTGATCTCGATCTCCCGACCTCGTGATCCGCCCCATCTCGGCCTCCCAAAGTGCTGGGATTACAGGCATGAGCCACTGTGCCCGGCCTAAATTTTTTTTTTCTTTTGAGACAGAGTCTCGCTGTTGCCCAGGCTGAAGCACAGTGGCGCCATCTCGGCTAACCTTAAGCTCCGCCTCCCGAGTTCACGCCGTTCTCCTGCCTCAGCCTCTGGAGTAGCCAGGACTACAGGCGCCCGCCACCTCGCCCGGCTAGTTTTTTGTATTTTTAGTCGAGACGGGGTTTCACAGTGTTAGCCAGGATGGTCTCGATCTCCTGACCTCATAATCCGACCCCCCTTGGTCCCCCAAAGTGCTGGGATTACAGGCCTGAGCCATCACACCTGGCCAATAATAAATTTTTAAGAAAGAAAATGGCTGGTGCAGTGGTTCACGCCTGTAATCCCAGCACTTTGGGAGTCCGAGGTGGGCGG